TAGGTCGAAAGATTTGACTGAGGTTTAAAAGTCTTGGTATCTTCCACAAGTGTAGGTCTATATCTTGTCATATTAAATTGGGGCGACCACCCCCCCTTTCCCAAATTATTTTTATGAGATTTGTATTCAATGATTCAAGTATGGGTCACAGATATGATCAAATGTACCTGAGAGGGTCTAAACTTTCAGACGCCCCTAGCTTGAGGCACTCCGCACCGTCGAGGCTTTGCGTGGGCGTGTCGCACCATAACCCATACACGTCAAACATAAACATGCGTGGGGATTTCTGATTGCGAAATTTGAAAGAGAGAGTACATTTAGTCCTTATTTCCCCCTCGGGAGCATCATTTTCTTTACTTTATATAGATATATGGATGCGTATATGGATGAAAAGCTGGTAACTGATTAATCAAGGAATTGAGTTGGGTCGACGTGCAAAGATAATCGCATTAATTTCCTCCTGGCAAGTGTGATTTATCATGTTAACTTTCAGATTCATGGAGGCGTAGTACATTTATCAAAATTACACACAAAGATCTATTTACAGCAATTTTGGTAGAAAACGAATTAACCCGGAGAAGTGTAGATCTAGTATTAAACAACTTGCTAAAATGTTATGGTCGCCATGGAATTTATGCAGTCAGATACTATGGCAGTTACATTTGCTGCGGCAGCCGTACGGCGTATTTTGATTTTGAGGAAACAGGTTACTGTACGTGCGGCCTTTAAATGATGTCGTGCGGTCACCGTAGGTTGTCCCTAAGGCGGGCGTAGTTTCTTTTGACAAAAACCAAGGTAGACGCAATGCCCCCGCATGGGGGGGGGGCTTACGGCGATCCTACGGTTCGCAAAAGTTTATTGTAGCCAATAAAATCACAGGGCAGCCGCAAGTCGATCGTACGCCCGAATACGGCCAACGTCGGTCCTTTCTACGGTTTCGCTGCAGCTTATCAATTTCTACGATGACCGCAGGATCGAAAAAATGTTAAAACTCCAAGTCCAATATTCTACGGCGACTACGGCATAGAAAAAACTGGATGCACTCTCTGCAGACTGTAAGCTCTAAATTGAAAAATAAAAAGTATCTCAGCTGAATTGGAAAACGAATTATATACATTATGCAATATTTTGTGCTTCTTGGTAATTGATTATCTATATGTATAGACTCATATGAACTATCAAATAATCAAGAAAATTCATTTAGCTATTGCGGATTAGAGCTATCGACTTTCAAATCGTTTCGGAAATCAAATTAAATTGTGTGATAACGGTAGGGAATTTTATTAAACTTGATTTTTGACCTAATGGATATGTCAGAAAATGTAATTTGTTATTTAGTTATCTCAGTATAGGGGTAGCGTGACATGTTTTAAGAAAATTACTGCAGGGTATTAGTCAGCTCTCGTTGCTCTTGTCGTTGTATTATTCGCTTTCAGAAATTTTCAGAACGGGAAAATATCAGGGATATCGAGACCATGATACTGTGTCAAAAGTGAGATTATTGTGCTGAATCATTCCATTTGAAGGTGTTGATTTCAAATCTTTGATGCGGGAATGCAAAGTTTAGGAAACAGTGCCTGAGTTAAATGAATCACCTATAGCTAGTCTTTTTACACGCTGCAAAATGTTTCTACGAAATCATCTAAAATAACATGTTTTCAATGAAACTTTTTGCAAGGGTCAAGTTGACAAAGCGTCAGTCTGTAGAGTCCAGTCGTCACCTTGACAACCACATAAGGAGTGACCTTGGATGCGGTGATTGGTGGTATAATGCACTGCAGTTATATGAAATACTTGAGAGACCCAACATTGACTTCCCTACAATATTCGCTTAGACTTGAGTAGCTGAGATACATTGACATTGGTATATGAAAATGTCTAAATAAATGTACAAAGACGAAATATGTACATTTATAAATATGTATATTAAGTCGAATATAAAATAAAACTCCAAATAGTTTTAGTTAAAATGTGATCGGTTATAATAACCTTGAACCACATTGAGACACATCTGCTTTTGATTCTCGTGCATTTAAAAATAAAACTATTTTTAATTTAGAAAATGTTATTCTAAATGGTACAAAAATACAAATTAACCACCCGTGCACCTTAATGGTGTTCCTAATGGGCAAACTAGCATAAATTACAATATCAAAGGTTTACAACTACTGCCATATCTAACTCTCTGATCTATGAATGTAGATAGAGAGGTTCATTTTCAAAATTGGCTCAATTTCAGGGAATTTGGCACATAAGGTTTCATTTTGCCAGGTCTGGGTACTAAATCTGAATGAAATCATGGACTCAGAGGAATTCCAATGCTCATTTGTTACTTTGACGATATTTCATCTTTATCTTCATGTATGTTGAACTCTCTAAACCATATTAGGCATCCTCAGTGTCAATCTGCCTATAACTTTGTTTTAAGATTTACTGCAAATCGAATGTTTTAAAAATTACAAATACACATGTAGTCTAAAACTATTTCAGTACAAATATGTAGTTTATATAAATCGTATTTTTGATCTAAAACACCTAGTTTTACTACAGTAAAACCTGTGTAAGTGGAACACGTTTGGTACCCCTAAAACTGTTCCACTTGGGAGGTGTTCCACTTTCAGAGGTTCATTTAACAATAAGTCAATAGGTTACGTGACCTTCAAAAGCGTTCCACTTATGGAAGTGTTCCACTTACAGAGGTGTTCCACTTACAGAGGTTCATTTAACAATAAGTCAATAGGTTACGTAACTTTCAAAAGCGTTCCACTTATGGAAGTGTTCCACTTACAGAGGTGTTCCACTTTACAGGTTTACTGTATATATAAAGTTCAACCACAACAACAACAATCGAACTATATAAATAATGAGAATGAGAAAAAGATCATTGAGAGAGTTCTGCGAGGATCAACTTACACTTGCTTTTTGCAACTCTACTCACTTCCCTACAAAATCACACATCTAGATCTCCTTCTACGTATAAGTAAGATAAATTATCAGCTACATAGGTTATTCTACAGAACTATTTCGTGGGTTGTAAAATGAAACAATCAGAAAATATAAAGCTAGATAATATTTAAATGTTACTAGAGAGATGTTACAAGGTCATTTATAACTTATATTTATTACTTATAATTTAGAAAATATATCATTTATACTGATGTTCATTTAAGGCCAATCGTACACCCAAAAATTACAATTTTCAATTTTCAATTACCATTATCATGTTGAAATCATTCGATAAATAAGAAAAGTTTAGAAATAATTCCGGTCACTTATGGTCACTTATATGTATGATATAGACCCATTATATGTCGAAATACATATAATGAATGTAACTTCAATAAAGGTTTATGAAACATCTCCCAGTTATGTTTCAATATTTCACTATTAGTATAAATTAGAAGTGAGGTAAGACTCAAAAAAATATAACCTGCTAATGACTACAACCTTAGATACGCTTTTCACAGTATGGTGCATATCCTCCTTAAATAACTAAATAACTGATGCGATGTTTATAAATCACATCAAGATTTCTGGAGGCTGTGCGATATACTGTACTACACATACAACACCTGAACAGCTGTGTATTTATACAATGCATAAATAATGCACAACAACCATGACCTTTAAGTGAAAAAATGAGATGGTTGACCTTATTTACAGATGAGTTTTCTATGTTAACAATAAGTTATGTATTTTCTCCCAACTTTCTATACAAAGTATGTTTATATTTGTACAGGCGAGGAAATGTTTTCCAACCTGTTACCGATAACAGGCAACTCCATATGCAAAATATGTCGGTAAGGCTGAGGCAATTAGATAATCTGTTTAGTATCACTCAATTTTGTTTTTCTATATATTGAAATTAAAAACGCCTCTGCCATTTATCCTATTTTAGACTATGCACAATAAATTGCATTGTTAATAGTGGACGATCAGTGTTCAAATTCGCGAGATCGTCAGGTTATTTGTTGTGCAGTTTGAACGAGTGGAATATGCATTTGTTAAACATTTTATTTATTTATCCCAGCCTAACCTTGAAGTGATGAATGTTCGCATACGATATGGATGATATCTAATACAACATTTTACTGAACCATTCAAATGACGTTTTGTTCCATAATACACAAACAGTAATTATGTACAGAATTAATAAATATATCAATGTACTTTGTATGTTGTAGTTTGCCCATTCTGATACGCATATCATCTTTCTGTTTCACCTGAAACATTTCAGGACTGAGAAGAAATGAGATGTCATGCTTTATCATGATGTAGTAACTTGCCCATTTTTAAAAATTAAGCTCGCTGTAGATCCCTTATTTGATGCCCTCCTCTAAACACAGGGTTCAACGGACCTGACCTGTGTTTGGAGAATTGCTTAGAATTCGTTCCTCACAACGAAGATATTCTGGATCTCGGACCCATGTGGTCGAAGAATAATTTGATGCATAAGCCGTATCAGAAATATGTTCAGTTAGTTAATTAATTATCTATACTTGGCTAGACTCATTATGCGAAATAATTTCTCGACCTTGGATGACCTGTTACTTTTCATTTAACCCAAATGGACTGTCCAATGAAATCAGTGTGCCTTTATGTTTAGAGCTCATTCTAATGGTTTGCGGGTGTATTTAGCACATAGATAATTACTATTTGCATATATTGAACAATGGAACTCCATTACTATAGACAATACTTTCCATTATCATTTACAATAAATTACACTTTATAGGTTAGTGTATAAGCTGAGACAATATATTCACAATAGAAATGCAAGTTTTTAACGGAAACAATTTAATTTGAAAGCCCGCATGATTTTACATTCAGTAACCATATGCCAACGACAATTGAGTCCGATAAATACATAGATCTAGATTTGGGAATTCTGAAAAGTCCAATTTCCCCCATACACATCAGAGAGATATTGGACTTTCAAAATAGATTCTATTGTCATGGAATTCCAGGAGTGATATTTACAACTATTAAAGTGGTATTCTTAGATATAAATACCATTTTGAATTTTGGGTTTCCACAATAGCTAAATTACTACAAATAATATTAATGTTTGTAACATGTTACAAGAAATTGTTCTTATTTTGTCTTGTATTTTGAAACACCCTGTAGTCGGTTGTTGTAATCGCTATTTCGTCTCAACGTCGTTCACTTTGCAAACTTAATTTGTCCGCCCGAAATTAATCCCCATGGAATATTTCCGAATGAAGAATTTCAGATTAGCAATTCTATTCAAGCGAGTCGATGTTCATTACAGGCATCTATAGATCTATTCGCGGACGTCGATTATAAATGCAATATCGGTATATGGAATATATGGAATAACAGTTTATGTCGATCAGCATGAATAGAAGTTAAATCATAGATGAAATTCAGTTACTATGTCAATGAAACATTTTCAGGTTATGTAACCCTTTAGTAATCCCTTTTCCACAAGCTTATGGATACAAACTAAAAGTAACCTTTACCGAAAGATCCCTGTAGGATCTCCAACGCATCTGGTCCAATCGAACAAAAACTGAAATTCTATATAAGCTAATTCTATATAAGGGTTCACATTTTGCATTTAAGCATCGCCACAAATCGTTTTTTGTCTCTGTGTTGATGAGGTATTTCGATCGATCACAATAATTTATAACTTTCTATTGTGATTGGTTTTGTAGGTCAGAATAACCAAGTCTAGATTGATGTTTTATATGTTTATTAGACATCTGGGTTTTGTATTACGATCAATGCTGTGTCATTAATCGTTCGATATTGAAGTATCTGTTAAACTGTTAAAAGCTCCATTTTTCAAGAAGCATAGTTATGCACTTCAAATGCCACTTTGTCAATAGTTTCATTGATACGATGATCGTGGTACAAAGCGTGTGTTCGTTTTAAACACAGATGCGTGTTACACATCCAGACAAACATAGTTTCACCGTGTAGTGTTCCTTTTAGGTTATGACGTTCCTCTCTCGCATAGAATGAAATTCTTGAAGAACACGTACTTCCCGGATCATCTCATTCACTACAATCACTTGCTCACATAGCGTGTTCTTCAGATAAGAGTTTGCAACTTCCACTGGCGTCACTGTAAATGAACGCGTTTTAAACGTACTCGGGTCTTGGAAGCGTTCCTTTCTTGGTTCCAGGCATTTGGAGGCGCGTTCCCCAAGGTCCCTTGTCATATCTGCTGCACGGCAACTCGATGAATATATCAGCTTCATTTTTATCTGAATAAATGTCAACGATCTCGAATGGAAGATCTGCTATAGGCCAATCTTCCTCGTATGACGATAAAACCTCTCCTATCTTGCTGGTAAACGTCTGCGTTGGTACGGACGCAGCGGGCCGTCGGAAACACGTCAAGCGAATAAACATGGGAATCAAACCGCAGAGAAGAATAGACAGAACTTGATTAGTGGAAGAAACAGGATAGAGTCTGCCAAACAGAACAACAGTGAGTAACACAAATAGCAAATAAAACACAATGCAGAGAAACTTAATTGATGCGCGGAAAATTGTTTTGTAAATTGGTCCAGGGCTACCTCCTACTTCAATCTTGCAGACCTCAGAAAGAAGTCCCTTTGGTATGAAATGAAGGTCATTTTTGAAGATGAATAATACTGTATTTCTCAAGGTCCAATTCAGTTTCTGGTTCGTAGAATAATCTTCCGCTGCGCCTTCATCTTCGGGGTTAACGTAAATCCGGTTGCCGACCTTGAATGCGTGGTTGTCTTGGAGATACTCCGGAAGTCGTGTGACATCACTTACTTCTGACGATGACCGATCTGCGATTTCTCTAAAGAGGCGCTTGTTTACTGCCATATACACCTTGTAGACGCTGTTATAGCCGAGATAAGCGTACATGAACAACAAAACCACAAAGATTACATAGCGAAGAACATAGTTAGCGTTCATAATAATGCCAAGGATTGTGTAGATCGCCATCTCTAAACCAAAACCGACACATTCAGCGAAGACAATAAGGATCAAATAGGTGCAGAAAAGGAAGAGCAAAGCAAAAAGAACGTAGAGAATTTTCAGTCCAAATGTAGGAGGCTTTGGCATCTCGATGTAGCTCAAATCGGTGTCAGCTTTATTCGAAGGAAGCGTTCCACATACTGACCCATCTAACAGCGCCCTCTGTGAGAAGCTCTGGTCCATTAACTCATTATCGCCCTTGACAGCACGGAGAGTGTGGACCCCAACTCTGTATGTAAGATAGATGATCGGCGCAAACAGGACCAAGCAACCAATAAGGACGCACGGGAGAACGATAATCCACAGCACCAAGCATAACAGTAGACCTAGAATTCCGTAATGCTTACAGGGGTAGAGCAATACAGGGGCCCACTTGGTCAAGGCTGAACAAGACGAACACATGCTATGGAGATCAGTGAACGCATCTCGAATGATGCTCCTAAAGCGCCCGGTCTGCTCGAAAGTTATGTAGATAAAAATCATACAGAAGACGAAATACATGACGTAGATGAAAGGGAACAGGCCATAATCCGGTGAAAAATATTGGAGAAGGTGGTAGCGATATTGCTCAAGTAAATTATTCTCCTTGATGAACTCCTTTTGGTGTATGATTTCCTCGCGTTCGTAATCGCAATAAAGCCCCAGACGGATGTAAAATGGCAAAGGGAGCAGCAGAAAAACAGCGAACAGGATCGAAAGTCCGAGACAAAAATGCTTCCAACGGATCATGAAATCTTTCTTGAAATCTCCAAGGATGCTAGCTCTGCAACAAGCCCTGAAAGGCTTCTTGTTTCGTATTCCACAGCGAAATAAATTATCATAGAGCCAATCAAATAGACCGAGGGATATTCTGCTCTCGGAAACAAGGCGATCCCCTGACACCGCCACGCGCAGTTCATTGATGCGAATCTTCACCGTTTTGTTCTTTGGTACAGATCTTAGTCCTTCTTGGAATTTATTAAATTGGGATGTTTCATAAAAGTCTATTCTGTGCTGGTATTTAAGGCTCCCTCTATCGTTGCCCAAGTATATCAATTTCTCCACGCTCTGGTTTAGTTTTACGATATATGATGTCACGTGACGTTCAAATGTATACAGCCAAGCGGGTATGAAGAGCGGGCCAAATATAAAAGCGGCAGTCTTGACGAAAATCATGAGAACCATGATAGACCACAATAGAGCGCTTTGGGGCACATCTTTGCAATGGACCTTCCCGTTCTTATACACACTGCAACACAGGTCTGCAAAGTTTGCACGACCAGTGTTTTGATACGCAGTGACGATCTGATGACACAGCTGTTCATTCTCTCCAAGCGATGGTTTTTCAAGGTCAGGGTCAAGGTCACGGATGAGTAACTTCCGGACAGTATTGTACTTCTCATCGGGTTCAAGGTCACGTAAACACCCGGATGGCGAGTCGTAAACAGCAACATTCAGCTTGTCGACCCCACTCCCAAGAGTATTGAACGATAACGCCCTGTAGTTAAAGGATAGTTTGAGTAATGACTCGCCCTGCTGGGTCACCCTTCTCCATGTATCCAATCTATAATGCAATCCAGTGTTCGTAGTCAATGCATTGTGACTAGAGTTCTTTAAATGGATTTTATATTCCAAAGAATGTATTCCATTTCGAACTAAATCCTGGACTTTATATTTCACATTGTCCGAGACAGGGTAAAGTTCGCAACTGATGTCGTTTGATTTGTTTGTGCTTTGTCCATTAATGAGATGTGGCATTAATGTCAACAGGAGACATATGCTAACACGTACCATCCTCATAATGCAACAGTTATGTGCTTTCTACTCTAACATTGCCAGCAGCAAAGTTAGTTGCATCCGATTTGTATAATATACAGGTATCTTTCAAATTATATTTCCCAGGTGTTTACAATGTCCAGGTGTATTTAAATAGATCGCATCAGTTTCCACTCAAATATAAACAGATCCGAGCTGCACCTTCAACACACTGCACTGATACAGCAAACTGTAGCATAACATTACAACGGACCCCTTCGACGCGTTACAAACTACAATATCATGAGATACATTTTCTTCACTGAGAGGGCAGCAATATTCCTGACTCTGAAAACGAGTTTCGCAACATGATATAATTATGACTGATTGCTCCTGAAGGGCAATGGTAAATGGCATATTAACTGGAAACGAGCCAGAATTCTGTTCTGTTTTGTGCAAAAAGGTAATTGACATGATAAAATACAAATAGCGTACACCTCGTGTTTTTAATTCAAGTTACATTTGAATAGAATCAAGCCACATGTACATTTAAAAAATACAAATAAACAAACATCTATCAAACGTATTATAAACTACATATAACGTACTGTATATGTAACAGTGGATTCAAAAAGTACAGTTTTTCATGAACCATTCGCGCTTTAAATAACAAAAGAAAAACGTAGGGTCTTCTATTCGAAAGTGGATGAAATCTACAAGTTTTCGCAAATGCATGGTCTTGCTAAGATCAGGTTATTATCAGACCCGTTATCAGAATATTGATCGGAGAGTCCTGCACATAAGCCAATCCTGCATATTGATAATAAATTGCGATGATTTTTTCTGACAAGCATGCAAGACTATAAATCTAACGTTCACCTGCTTGCGTTTGTCTGTTTTTAATCTTGATCCTTTTCATCTCAGCAGTTATCAAATTTCAGAGCTCCATAGGGCGTTCCGGGAAACATGATCGGTTACTAGGGGTCATTGGGATATGCCCACTGGGACTAAAAGTCCTGTTGCGGGACTTGGTAAGATAATGAATTGTATCAAAGTTAATTGGTTTCAAAACGAACGCTAGACTGTAAAACTCCACGAACATATGTACACCCTGTCCCTGGATTGTTTTGAAATCTTGATAAATATTAAAAGGGCTTCAACTATCTGGGGTTTCTATCTTCTAAACAGGCGTAGACCTAGGCCTACCTACTTGTATAAGTAAAGGCCCTGATGTGACGGGCTTCAATTTTCTTTGAAAATGCGCACTTTTTAAGAATGTTGAACCAAATTTTCAAAAGGGTCCCAATCATATTTCGTGGATGGATTTTAAAAATACCTTGTCAATTTTAGGCACGCCTCTTTCTACAGTAAACAAAAACATCCGCTGGCAGTGATCTTAGAGTATTTTTAGATGTTCACCTTGAATCCCAAGAAATGAGGTAGGTACAATGTATTTATTGTTGGTATGCATATATATGCGAGGGGTGTATGCTCAACCCTCGTATCAGTTAACAGAAACTAAACGTTATCAATACATTAAAATCGTACTTCGCGCCGTGGTTTGAAACCTTAATGAGGGGTAATCGAATTCACAGACCAGTTAATTGATTATGGCCGGAATTTCTTCTTATTATCGCTTGCAGTTGTGGAGAGAGGCAGAGCAAATAACACTACATAAGCAAGCATTGGTAATGGCTTGAAATACCATTTTCGAAACCTGCTCACTTAATTACTAAAATGAACGGTGATAATTAGAATTCTCGTTGATAAAGCACACAAGCTACACGCGCGCTTAGATTTTTGGTTGCTCCTATCAAAAATGTCAAACGCGCATTCTAAAGAAACGCGTACGAACTTGAAATGACTCTTTGTTTATCTGACCATTTTCCGACTGATCGTGGGTTATATTTTAACCGAATCCGTGCACCAGACTGACGAGGAAATTATACACAATGTTAATCAGAATATAACTTATGCACAATGGAAATTTCAAACGCTGACAAAAAACTAGCAGACCAATTTCTGAAGAGGCCTGGAGTCAGCCGAGCTATGAAAAATACATATATTTAACATCAGACTTTATTACCCGTAACCAAACAAACGAGGCATTGTACGGCAATTAACTGATGATGTTGCCAAGGGGTCCTCTAATAAAAAGGACGCAAATCGATAACATCAAGTCCGCTCCGATCGGAGTGATCGCCAATCTGTTTATGTGACCAATAAGCATTATTTTGTGCACAATTACAATGCAAAGGCGCTAAATAATTCGCAGACAATATGGCTTAGGCATATCCTTTAATTCCACTCTCCCTGGGGATATAATCAAGTAGTTCGTGTGGCATGCAACGAACAATCACTGACATTATACCTTTGTACATGGAAAATTTATATTTAAAGGAAGGAGAAAGACACATCCCAGAATTCATGTACAGATGAACCTCCTTCGTCTTTTAAAGAGTATACCGTTTATGATCGTGAAGGTTGTTTACATGTTGAATAAGCCTCCAAAATGGTTGTGTCATCAGAATGCATATCTCATCTATTTCCAGACACGGTCTTAGCCTGTAAATTAATGTTGTTTATAAGGGCAAAACTGCAGAATCTTTTTTTTATTTCCCTATAGGTATTCATTTGAGGTGATAGTTTATCACATTTAATTCATTTACCATCTGAGATCGATTGATGTATTTTTTGTTTTATTACTTAGTACTAAGTAGTTTAAATTATTGGTGGGATTTTCTACACGGATCACAAAGACACACGAATCATTCATTAAATGTAAAAAGAAGGTTAAACAATTCACAAAATATTTTCTTCCTATATTCAGGCCTGAGATATTTTCTGAAAAAGGTTAGATTCACCTTTGATATCATGGTTGGTCAATCATTTTTAGCCTGATACTGTTTATCTAAATAAGATGGGGCATAAATATGTTTTATTCACCGTTTATGACAGGCACAAGGAGGAAGTGAACATAGTTGAAATATATATACTGCCCATTTCAGCCCATAGTCAGAACATTAACCCACTTCGAGTACTCAACGTGTAAAAGAAACAAATAACTCACTCACAAATACTTTATTATTTCTTGAGCATTTTTGTAGTGTTGGAATTTTATAGTCATATGAGATTATAGGAGCAAGCTTAGCTCTAGGTTGATCCAGAAGGTATATAGCAACGTTTAAAAAATCCAGAGATATTTTCTGGATTTTTTTTCATGTAGTTACTTGTCAACCCGGGCTTGTCAAAGAGGGAAGCATCATCACACCTTAAAATAATTCCTCTCTTTCTCATAACAATAGTAGAACGTTAAAACTTGTTTTCAACATTATAAATAAAGTCCATACGGCGGCATGTCGCAATCAGGAAGTTTTAATCTTGCTATTTGCCACATAGGTTGTCGCCTGTAGAGGTAAATCCTTTTACGTATTATCAAAGAATATGTACATACATTCCCAATTTTAATAGAATTGATACAGCTTATCCGATTTACTCGATTTCCTGGGATTTATTTCAACATTGTGTTGGAGAAAAGTGTGTCAACAGACGTGACATCTATGAATTATAATAAAAGGCGATAGCATTTACAGTACATGTATGTATACAAACAGGGAGTGACATCTATCAAAAAGTAATATTTCATTTCTATCAGAGAGAGAGATTGACAGTTCCGTTGTTCTTGAGCAGGGCCATTTGCTAACCAAACTATTCCAGACTATACTAATAATATATATCTAATAGGCCTAATATTTGGATCACACATGTATCCGTAAATTAAATTTAAGGCCTTCAATCCTAAATACTTGATTTGTCACTTGCGATGATATACCTGATACTGCTCAGCCAATGATGTAATATAAAGTGAATGATGTACTGTATTAATATGATGGAGTAAGACATGTTTTTGATCTGTATATGATCAGCAGTATCAGTGGGTTGAGTATGACTATGATAAACACACACATCATATTGTGAGCGATTATGATTTCCGAGGTTTAGTTTGAAGACTGTAGATCAGAGTATTGGCGATGTTAAAGTACCGTTTTATCAACTGTTCCATACTGATAAATATATAGTTCTAATCTACCCAAAAACGGATGCAATATGGTTTAAATATGCACGCATTTCATGGAAGGATAATATCATTGAGGTGTAGACAAGATTTACCGTTTGAACCATTGGGAACTAGTTTTTCAGATTTCTCCATTCCTATATGGGACATTGCTGGCGAGAGAAAATAAAATTATGGCTTACCGCCCGCACTAAGCGGATAACATGTTTAGTGGTGAAAATGCTGAAACGAATAGAACAAAAAATACCAACAGAATCTTTGAATTCAAATTTTATTTAATATAAGAGGGCTTCATGCTAAATTTTATATTTGGTGATTTTCGAGGCATCTTAACCTATACATGTATATAACATACTCCGGATCCATCCGAGCATATCCTACAATAAAATAAAAACCAAATTTCAAAAGAAATATTATATCGTCATTCATTATTTGATTTGTAAATTAGAATAATGCAAATCTGTAAATCTTTTTTGTTTTTGGTCGATCATGACACATCTGGTGTCAATTTTAGCCTCTACGTACCTCCACAGCAAAACAAAAGGTTTTCCATCGCATGGTGTCATATTGTTGGGAAATGATTTATCTTTAAAATTACACTCTAAAAACTTGAAACGCCAAAACAACGCTTGTTTTAACACTTATTTGCAACACATAATTAACACGTTTCTATGTTAATACTATATTCTATGTTAATACTATATTGATTAACACGTTTTTACGTTTATCTCAGCGTTTATAAGGCATTGATCAATGCGTTTATTAACATGTTTTTGTGTTTATTTTTGAAATGATAACATGTTTAAGTGTATTTAAAATAAACATTATAACGTGTTTAAGTTTAAGTGTTTAATGCTAACACTAAAACGTGTTTCCGGGCTTGCAACAGATAATTGATACGAAAACGTGTTTATCTCGAATAATGCGTTAATAAAGTGTTAATGTTAAACACTTCTGAAACACTTAAAAACATAACCTGTCATAAGGATGCAGACGAAATTTGTAAGTTCTGTTTCTTCATGTTTTGTTCAAAAAAGTTGTACTCATAGAATGTCCGTAATACCAAGGAATGCGTTCGACATCTTTCGACATATCTCTCATGAAAAATTAATTTCTTCATATTGGCTGCAAAAGAAACGCCTATACAACGTATTTTAACGCTCTGTGTTTATTCGGGGTGGTCACCCGCCATTTTGAAATATCGATCATCTAAGCATCTTTTGACATTTTTCATATGGGAATTATGGGACATACATAATGTGTATAATTTAGTATACATGCCCATCGTATTCCTTGGTATTATGTACATAAGTAGTCAACGAACATTCTATGAGTAAATCCATGTACTATTAAATAAAACATGAAGAAACAGAACTTACAAATTTCGTCTGCACCATTATGACCGGATATAGTTTGAAAGGACTGCGCATGCTCATCTCATTATAAACGTGAGGCGTTTTTGAAGCGTAAACATAGTTAATGCGTTTTTCAAGTGTTATAGTTTTAATAAAGGTGTTTCAAAGAAAATCCAAGGCGTGTTGTTTAATGCTAAACACAGGAAAAACGCTTGTCAAAAACGTAGTTCAAAATAAAAGTGTTAAAAATAAAACGCGTCGTGTTAAAAAAAGTTCCTGTAATAACGCACCAACGCGTTAAAATACAGAAAAGAAACACATTAACACGTTTACATAACAACACTCGTTTTAAGAGTGTATATATAATACTTGGCATGTGGTTTAACATTGATCATATAATATTCATCTTTAATTTATGTATTGTGTTTTGGCCCACCCTGTATAATGAAGTTTAAATCAAAATTGCGAACTTAATTGTTACTACCATTCTTATTAGATCGATGCGATGGCTAGCACTGACCTTGTCTGTCGTCCTTCTACAACTATAGCCGAACAGTTGAATTCTCCTCCACTGCAACTAGACTTGGCGAATATATTTGTTTCAAGTATATGACACTCTTGCTCAGCAGATGCATAATACGTGTCAGCAACACACGACTCCCATTTGTGAGTGCCGACCTCCCCGCCACAATCCGCGTACTGACAGTGACGTTTTATCAGCTCTAGTTTGTTTATGGCTCTGCGCCAGTTGTGTAAGTCTCTCCAAGGTGCATCCATGTTTATTGAATCGTCCTTTACCAAGTCTGTGGCTACTAGGGACGTTTTCCAACTATTTCCCATTAAAACACCGTGGTTTTTCTCATTGGCTCTGCTGATATAAAGGGGATCATTCCTCGTTCGTAAATCATTATCTTTTTCCCCGTCAAAATTACCACAAAGACCTGACAATTGTTAACATCAATATTTACAAACTTTCAGAGTCAATATAATGTCCCATTATTTCCACATTGTTACAATTGCATTTTCGCTGATATTGAGAAATCAGAGGTTGAAGTTTAGGTATTCATAACTTTTGAGTAGTAATTTTTAAAAACTTATTTTTTCATATAGGTAATCATGTGTATATGTAGGCCTTGCAGAGCAAAAATCACTGATTAACAATAAATTAAACACATATTTGTTAAGGTTTCTTGTTTTTAATATATCAATATCCCTGAAAACTGAATTTTTATTCACTTCCATTCTGTTATTCTCTCGTATACCATTATTCTGCCCATCTAATTATAAAGAATGTGACTCATGTTCCATTTTGACTGATAAGGTACTGGATGAGCTTGGACCTTGTTTTTGCTCTTTAAAAGGTACATGACAAAAAAAGGCTATAAAAGGGTCAGTTATTGATTAAGTTCACTGGATGAACTTTTTGTCAAATCTGCTTTCTTTTGTTGTACTACATGTATGGTGTCATGATTTATGATCTCCTTTGTTAATTACGTGCAACGTATACTAGTAAGAGATCATCCCATTATTTCCATATTGTTATTACTATCAAAATTATGTATCTGATTGGCTCTGCTGCCTACCCAAACAGATATGACGACAAGGTGGGCCTAAACTTTGTTTCCTCATTTTGCACTTATAACAATGTGGCACTGGATATCTCCAAAAGGAGATGAGATCCATTGAAATGGACCTAAGAAATGAATTCCTCGTGAAAAATTGAAAAAGATAGTATACTTATCTCAAAACCTGTAAAAAGTGAGTTATAACAATATGGAAATAATGGGACGATAAGTCATTATCGTATGATCTGTAAAATGAAGCCCTCTGATTGGTCAGTTTTTGTGCAGTAACCAATCTGTATTGCTACTGAGATTGTTCCCTTGTTCACCTCCGGAGCAATACAGAAAATATTCGTACGGAGGGACAATCTCAGTAGCAATACAGAGAATAGAGAATATTCCTAGGTAAAATGTTTTGGCCAAAGATCACACGATAAAAACGTTATAGAATGATTTGAACTCGATATTCTGTACGTATTGGCACGAGACGAAGTCTCGAACAGAATATATCCTGTATTGCACTTCAAATCATTCAATAACTTAAATTATCGTATGATCTGTAAAATGAAGCCCTCTGATTGGTCAGTTCTTGTATTGTACCAATCTGTATTGCTACTGAGATTGTCCCCGTTGATCATCTACACGACCTCTCCAGAGGTCAACCGGCAAAATTGTATACCGAGACTGTAAACCGAGAAACTACTGTTGACAGAGACCGAAGGTCAAAGTCAACAGTAGTTTCAAGGTTTACCTCGAGGTATTCGATTTTTGACGGTTGACCGAATGGAGAGGTCTACAATTGTTTTGTTAGTCCGAAAAAACTAATAATACACATATAGACGACAATCATCAATCGGCATGGCTTCATTTCATAATCTTTTCTCCGAACCACGTCAGCAATATTTTTGTAGAAAATCTGAAGACAGTGGTAGCTAAACTCACTATATTCGGCACATCACGGCGTAATCATTAGTAAATTAATGTTGACTTTACGTTTCTATTTGCATTTTTGCTATACTTGTCGTCTAGTTAACTCAAAATATCACTTTCATCAACGTTTTCAATATTATGACGTCAATCAACCAATCAGAATCGAGTATTTCAGTTGAGGTACTAACAAAAAATATTGGTACGGAGGGGACAATCTCAGTAACAATACAGAGGCTCACATGATAAAAACGTTATTGAATGATTTGAAGTGCAATACAGGATATATTGTGTCTCAATATTCTGTATTGGCACTCGACTTCGTCTCGTTCCAATACGGAATTTCTCGAGCAGAATATATCCTATTATAGCATTATTGTAAAAATAAAGGTAGACTCACACGGTCGCACCTACCATTAACTTTCATTTTCCAATAGTCTGATATTTTAACATAGGTGCGTCCGTTCGCAGGATTTCCATCATACTGCACAATGACTCCAACATCTTCTTCCATGTTAACTTCGACATAATCCGCATTCTCCCGTGTGGTTATGCTAATTACGTGACGTATGGTATATGGCGCACCTCCGATCATGTAGAGCACGCTTAATGTCTTTGGAAAGGTTGATTTTCGCACACCATCGATCTGTTTAGAAAAGCTTAGAATCAAAGGAAAGAAATGCGCTTAAAAGTGCTAGGAAGGAAACAAGAGACATTTCTATATGGAGCATGTTTCAATTCTCGAAATCGCTGTTCCCTCTTCAAAAGAGGAGACGCGAAAATCTTTCCTTATAAGGTCAAAATATTTCCCATGATGCAGTTTGCGGAGGAACAAATTTATACTTCCTTGCTTTCCCTCATAGGTTTAACATGGGGATTTTAACACCTATTTTTCAAACGATATATTCGTTCATATTCCCGTACGGGGGTACAGAAAAAATTATTAGAAACGATTGATCTTTTATTAATCTTAATATAACAGCTATTTTTTCATTGTATTGATTCATAGTGTGGTGAAAACGATGATTGAAAAGTGAGAAAATATTCCGGAAGAGAAGGTCACATGATCAGTTGACTAGTCGCCATATTGGAAAAAACAATTCCATTCGACTCTCAATACTTTCATGCTAATCTTACCGCACTACAAACTGCATCATCGATGCAACAACGGAATAAAAGTATTCATCATCAAATTAGTTACGTTGAAAACCAACAAATAACTGAGCAGTAGACCAAAGAAGAAGCGTCGCTATTATCTAGGTCACTCTGTTCAGTGGTCCGAAAGCCAATCTATAGTACTCGTTTCCGATTTTTGTTGTTCATTGTACAATGTTTATTGATTAAACTCGGTATACAGACTATTAAAGCAATGACAAAGAAGAATACTTTCGATGTTGTCATTGTTTTATTTAGCGTGCGGGTGTAAAAACAAAATTGCGTAATTAGTTTGAATTAGAACTTTCGGGTCACGCAAATAGCTACGCGAAATGCATAGTGAGAAAATATAAACCAATCAAATTTTGTCCTTTTTGAGTGCATATTTGCGAACGTTCTGATTCAAAGAGCGAATCGCGAAAGGGAGAATTAAAATATATTCAAAATCGGGCTAACATTCTGAAAATGAATAACGTTTGATTTTTTCTTACCAATTTCGTCGAAAAACGCACCAAACATTATATTTTAAGTCTTACTTCAAAAAAGTTTTGTCTGTATCATTAACATGTACTTTATGCAGAGGCACGACGAAATAATAACCGACACAGATAGTTTGCACAGATAGTTCGCATTCAATGGTGACCCAGTTAACAGTTAAATTTTGATGAATACTGTGCATCTTTTACAATTAAAATTCGGACTTCGGGTAATATTGCTTGTGAAAGATGTACAGGTATTCACCTAAAATAATATTATACAAATGTAATATTTTATTACAAGGCATTAACATGACAAAATGTCACCACCTAGAGGCTCACAATATTATGAGTTCAATTTTAAGTCAGATTTGAATTTCTGAGAACTTTCTGAGAAAAAAATTGGTCAATTTGAAGCAAGTTGAAAAAATACCTTATTGATCCTAAGAAGGTCATTGAAGAGTGAAATCTCAAATCTAAAGTCAAATTTGAACTTCTGATAACTTGTAGATGATGTTAAAAAAAAATTGGTCAATTTGAAGCAATTTAAAAAAGACTTTTTTGACCTTTTAAACCTTTTTTGACCTTAAAAAGGTCATTGAAGGTCAAATCTTAAATATAAAGTCAGATTTGAACTTCTGAAAACTTGTAGATAATTTTGAAAAAAATTGAGTTAAAGGCAGAATCTGATCTACAGGGGGTCACAAAATTACAAGCAACGTGTATAATTGACCTACCAATCTATTCCTTACAATATCAAATACAATATCTCCCAAAAGATTCACAATATGTTATAAATTGGTGAAGTTATTAATGCTTCAAAGTGCAAAAATGAGTGAAAAATGTTTAAATTCTCCCAAATAATAAGAATGGTAACCATTCTTATAGAAAATAATACATTATTGTAAAAATCTTTACTTTTCCTGGAATAAAGTATGCATTGTTGTTATTTTTAGGAATGACATGAATCAAAAATATTCTAAAATTGAAACAATTTTTTGTTTAGCCTGCTCGCTATATCTGATTCTCTCTTTAAACATAAACAGTATTTGTTCAGATTTTCGAAGAAGTTGTAAGAAGTTGTTACAGACACCATCCGCCGACCACCAATCACCGATCGCCAACCACCAACCGCCGATCGCCGTCATAAAAAAGGAAACCATAACAATAAGTCACTACTTTATGGTGACATAATAATGTAATATACAGTATTATACTACACTACACGTCACTACAATACACTACACTGTGATTGGCTGTGTATCATGTCTATATACTATGGATATGTGTTATTGCATGTCCTATTAGTTAATATTAAATGCGGTTTCTCATATATCATGTTTGTCATGTTTTGTTTATTAGCGAATATGATGACCATTTGGCATTCAAGCATACTTGCCTTTACATGATGCCCTTTGCTGTCTTTATGAAGTATCTCGATTAAAGTCTGTTTTGTGTCGCCTCTTGTTAAAATGGAAATTCTTTTAATGTAAGAAACACGATCCCCTGGACTTTTAAAATATGGTAATACTCTAACTTCAAAATGAGGCATAGTCCCATACCCGTTTACCAGTTTCATTTCGAGGTCATTCTGAATGTGAAAGTCAGCCTCGTCAAACGATTCAAAATGAATATCTCCCCAGGCAGTACATTCTGCCATTTGACTTCCTAAATCAAAATATCATTCTTAATTTGCAAGTGAACATTTATGTTACAATTGGCGTATTAACAAAAAAGGTCATATTACATCACCAAACATGATCACGGGATGTGATCGAAAGATTTTTCCAGACCCCGTGATGATATGACTACAAAAACTGGTTAACTATCATTTACAGTTCAAAACCCAAAGAAATAAACTGATGGCAAACTCAAGTTGCAATAAATTGACGCCGACATTTTTTTTGTTCATACATAGATTTTAGCTACAATAATATGCATAAAAATATTGCTATGGACAGTTTTCGTCTCGTTTTTTTATAATTATTTTATAATTAAGCCAAGTCTTACTTGTGTACCGGGAGGAACAAACTGCATCATGATACATTGGACTGCATTTGCAAAACGACCACCCCCATGGTAATGTGACACACGAGCCATGGTCACCACAATTTGGGCACCCAAATGAAACTTGACGTACCGGACGGGTCAAGGCACCTTTTGATTCTCGCTGATCTAAAAAGTATACCTGTAGTCATTGGTCTATGCAGTACGCATGACACGTTAACGTTCAGAATTGAAGTAATGCTGTTAATTTAGTTATTAAACCACACTTATGCCTTGGTCACATATGCCCCGATCCATCGGCTGGCGCCCGGTCGATTGAGTGTTTTGTTCAATATTTCATTCAATTTTGAACAAAATACTCAATCGGCCGGGCGCCGTAGTGGAAATCAGAGCAAATGTGACCAAGGCATTAGGTAGCAACTCAATAGAATGAGCTGTGTTTAATTTTTAAGAATACCCAGCTATAACAAAGAGGAGTGCATTGTTTTTAAGAATGTACAGTTGGCATTAGCTATCGAAAACCAGTGTGGCACAAAATATGATTGACAGGTGTAAAAGAATAGGTGGTCCTATCAAATTTTGGTCCTAATCTCTATTGATTTATATGGTGACCTAATTACAATTATTTTCCTAATTATTTATACACAGTCAGGGCCAGTTTGGGCCGCAAGGAAAGGGGACCATAATTCCAAGGGGACCATAATTTTTTTACATCGGCTCGTGCAGTGCACTAAAGCTTAACTAACATACCCTATTCACCCTTTCAATAGTTGAATAGTAAACACAAAAGAAACAAACTTAACTTCAGTGCACCGAAGCTGAACTAATTACACCCACTCACTTCTCAATACACTTACCTCATAGTCAATGCAAAAGAAATCAATTTTTCCTAAAATATTGGATCATGGACCACTTAACTTTGATAAGAGTCAGTGCCCATTGTGTGATTTAAGTTAGATAAACAATTCGTCTTGGGTCTTAGGAAAAATAATGGCCGCGGGGCTTCGCCCCTTGGTCATTATTTTTTCTCATCCCGAAGACTCATTGTTTAGCCATTACTTAAAACCCACTTAGGTAGCAACAAAATAGAATAAACGAATAAACTATATTTTATTTTAAAGAATGTCCAGCTATAACAAAGAGAAGTGCATTATTCTTCTATTGCTTTTAAAGAATGAACACTTGGTAAGCTATCCAAAACCAGTGTAGCACAAAAGACGATTGACTGTCAGCACTGTGCAGAACTAATTATACCTCATTCACTCTTTCAATAGTTGAATAGTAAACACAAAAGAAATCAAGCTTTAAACTGTGACTGCGCTTGTGAACTGCCCACGGCGCAAGTATATTGCATAATATTCAAGCTGTAGTTTTGTATGCCCGCGGTGCTAGTCAATTGCGTAATATTCTAACAAGTTTTCGCCCAAGGTATCACTAAAAAGAACAATAAACACCTGCATTGCAAATTATATGCTCATGTGTTTTCAACAAAAATAATTCATCCAAGCGCACTTTCACTCACATGATTCTTTTGAAAGACATCACGGTTTATTGCAATCGAACTCCTGTGGTGCACTAGCAACAAGGTGGCGCTTAGCAATAATAAGGACTTAGCATACGGTAACCCAAGTCGAGGGCAGTTGAAACACCTCAAAAATATGATGTCACAATCTTTTTAATAATAATTTTCAGACTCATAACTCATGCCCGTTTCATGTTTAGTAGTGACAGTCCTATCAACCATAACCAGCTATTCTACTTCTTTAATCATCTCTGCTATGCGTGTTGTTTTGGGAGCACCTGTACAGGAAGCATCCTCAGCAGATCTTGGTTTTTCAGAAGTCGTTTTGTACTGTACCTTCTGTAGACATTGCTTTATGTCCATTTTCATCACCAAATTACTTGTTTAGCATCTCATAAGTTTTTTGCAGTGACATTTCATTTGAAATACAGCATTATGTCAGTTCTCTCTGTCTTCTATGGAGGTCTGGTGACTCAATTCTACCATTTTTCAGTATGGCTGACTTGACCTTGATTTCCTCAATGCCTGTGTTTTCTGTCATCTTATCGTTGGGTATCGACATGTATAGCCTAATGACAAAGCTATTGTTGGGTAGGCAATTATGAAATAACGATTAAAAGTAGATCACATCAATTAACAGAAACTTTGCAGAATTGATTAACACCCAAATAACATCAAATTTGTATGACTTAACAGTGTCTTCAAATTCATTTTGGACAGACGTTCAATACCTTATTGTTAAGATTCACAACCTGCTTCAGGTGCTCATACCATGGGTTTCTATGGCAACCGTAACTCTGACATTAAGTAATATTTGTGCCTCAGATTTTGTTGCAATGATAATGAATGTTTGGTGATACTACGTATCAAATTTGGTGTTCTAACTCCAATTAGTTTTTGAGATAGGGCTCTATTTGCGTTATTTGTTGATCGCCCCTTGTACCTATGAGGATAACTTATCAAATATAATGCAATACTAGCGCCGCGGGCGGATTCAAAATCGCAGCCTCAATAAGTTTGCACACATACGAAGTCAGATTCTGTGTATTTCGGTATTTTCAAGCATGTCATTTTTCCAGAGATAATAAGCCGTTATAGTTTGTAGAAGACAATACAAGATGTGTTCCATTATTGCAAGAGTTGATCGGAAAAACGCCCTATGGAAAGTCCACTTTGATAAATTATATCGCATATTGCCTAGGCCTAATGTTGAAAATGTGCCACATGTATAATCTTTAAAAATTGACATGCTCATTAAAGCTTAGTACAGCGACTAAATACCTCGTAAAATTGATTTATTGAATGTATGTTTGTTATACTAAATGTTATTTATAATTACGCGTGGAGACTACATCCCAGACCCGAAGATGAACAGGTAGCATTGGCGTCAGAAGGGGGAGGGCGTTGGGGGCGACCCCCCTCCTTTTTCCCAGATTTTTTTTAGATTTGAAACCGACCCTAGAATTGAAAGCTCTTGAGAGCTAATTAAAGTCAAAGTGTAAAAATATCAGAAATGATACTATGTCATTATCTAGTCTACATCAAGCATAGAAAATCTCATTTTTCATATTATATTTAATTCTATACCATACAGTATGTAAATACTTTGAACAATAAGTGCAAAATATATTTGCAAAGTATATTTTAGTAAAATTCAAAGTTTTTCTGTCAAAGTCTAGCTAGTTTCCTAAAAATACCTTTTTCTTGTTCGAGAGTGTGTAAATTTGACTGGGGGCATGCCCCCCAATCCACGCTTCATGCACGGCCCATCCATATCACTAAGTCGCCCCCTCCCTTGGCAAATCCTTCTGACGCCCCTTGGTAGTAATTTAATTATTTACCACATATGCTTCCAACGGATCCGTCTGCCTTTTTGAATAATGCTAATATCTTTTGGAATCCTTTGTCTATTCGGTGATAAACTTTCCAGCCCGTTTTCGCAGATTCCGTCAATGGTAATATGCTTCTGCTTAGTTGACTTAGCATCGAGCTTTCGTCGGGATTGGATACTCTCGTTGCATTTCTCACCATTTCTGATAGCTGTAAGCCAGATTTTAGGACACCTCCCCAGCCAAATGATGCAATATCTTCAAATTTCAACACCTCAAATCCGTTTGAATAAAATGGAAGTGAAACATTCATGAAATCGAGACCTTTGTTTCTAACAGCGTTATTGAACGTGATTTTCGTCAATGCGACTACCATTTTAGGACGTGCACTTTGAAACTTTACCAAGGAATCCGCCAGTAGCTTCAAGTTGGCGACGACATCTTTTTCAAAAACGCTTACATACGTCTTAATGATGGAATTTGCCTTATAATTCTGCATTAAATCAGAAACAGTCGAAACATCGAAAATCAAGTCAGCAATGGAAAGAGATTTGTAATTCTTTGCTAAACGTGCAAGTTTATCGAAGCACGTACATTGGTTTAATACTTGAGGCAGTTGTCTCTCTGCTCTAGTTAAGTCACCTTCACCGAAAGCAACCGAAAATGTGACGGGAAACAACGACAAAATCACTAAATGTTTCATCCTAAAACACAAGAATGTGTATAACAAAGCATGCATGCAATGCAAAAAAATTGTAACTGAAAGCCCCATTGTAACAACCCGCAACTTGAAGAAACTTACTTGCTCCGCGAGATGATCAACTACTTGAGTCGAGTTTCAGCTGAACACGAATGTAAGACCTAATGTTCCTATTTATCCTTGCCGTACAATCTAATACGTGCGAGCATACATGCATAAGCATTGGTACTTAGTACCGGTGCTGCAAGCATTTATGCTAGCGCGCAGTAACTGCTCTCTTCAAACTAGTTACCGAAACTGGTCCGTTTAGGTAACAAAATGTCGGAACCTCGAAGGTGCGATTTTTCTTTTTTCCCTATTTCACGAGTTATAAGCAGAATTCCGACGACATTTTATATCACAAACGTGTGCCAGTATCATATGTTTAAGAAAATATACACGTTTGCGAACAAATAGTTCAGAAGAAAACAGAATCATCGATTTAATACCTAACTATTATTCCGTAAACGGTTAACGGTTCAAAGTGCAGATTTTAACCGTTTAATTGTTCCGTTTACGTAACGAAAATGAGGAATAAAATTGAAGATTTTGTCCACCGAACTATTTTGTGCGAAATCACTTGGATTTTTCCAGAAACAACCGGAACCGTAGTAGCCATCTTGTTACTGAAACGGATCGCGTTTCCGTAACAGCGTAAACAAGTGCAGTACCAGAGATAATTTGAAAAAACAGGTTAATTCAAAAAGTTCTGCGCAAATATCTGTAACTATGATAATAATCAATGTGGTCATATTTGGTAAGTAAGGTGCCCAGTCCTATTTATCAGTATGAAGGTTTCAATGATACAAATCTCTTAATTAGCATATTACGATTGCTGTTACCTGCTGGATGACGACAGATTTATTCATGTGATAACATAAATGTACTCGGAGATTATTGCAAGTAATCCCGGGCAATGTATATTTGGCAAAGATTCCAAATATGGCCAGTTTTACCAATATCAATCGTATTCTTAAGTGAAACATGGCAGCATCGACATAATGTATCAATACTTTATATTCTGCCATTTTTACAGAATGACCTTGACATACGTTATGTTATCTTAAGATATTTTGGAATAATCACATGAATTTACGAAGTTTTCAATTAATTTAAATGGCCAATGAAATCATGAAATAATGGAGGATACTCCCCTCAAAATACAACATTATTTCGGAAAAAACAAATGGTTTCATTGAAGATTATAAAACCATCGTCTCATCCTTGAAGTTCAAAAGAACAAATAAATCCATTCTGTGAAAAAATCGCAAGAAAAAAGTAGAGGTGCAAAGAGACATCAAGTCTTCCCAAAACCCTTGAGTTTTTCACATGATGAAAAGGAAGGAGAGCTAAGTTAAGTTCAAGCAATGGTTTTTAAATAAAATTCCGCTAGAATACTGAACAATATTTCGAACAATAACAATACTAGTTAAATTATTCAAGGGAATTGTCTCAAAAGAATACTATGTTAAGTTAGAAGCAGAAAACTTTGATCGAACATATGTTGAAGAATGAGAAAACTTTGACAGGATATGAATAGGCGATTATCAGTTGAGATATTCAATTCAACCAAGTTTAATGACGTCAATCGGCGAAGCATGGACCCATTGGTCCAAAGCCCGGGGTCTAAGGGTTCAAACATAAAAATCTAAGTAATACATGGCTTATGGTCCTAAAATCATATAGTAGAAAGAGTGAATTTGTATCTGTATCAAAAATAAGAGAAGTTTTCGTGCAAAGCTTTTTGAACGACCCTAATATCATTAATTAGTTGAACAAAATGATACGCTGCCATTATTCAATTTTATGTGAGTTTCAAACTATAGCCTACTGTATATTGAACACGTAGGCCTATGCATCATTAAAAACTGTATGAAAATATCACCTGGACAATTACCAAGGTCTGCATAACATTTTCACAAACCCCTCCAAACCATATCAATGAACAAACTTCAAGACTTAAAGAAGGTTGAATTAATCATGTTTAATGTCCCTGGATTAGTTACACCCCCTGTTTACACCTGTTTACATCATAATTACACTTAGGTTCTTAACGATAGCTTCTTTAGAACTAACCTCTTCACTCAGGGTATATTAAATATTAAAAAATGAATTGAAAATACAATCTCAAATGGATACTGTTACGTAATTTAATCATCTTTTAGATCCTTGCGTAGGGTTACACTGATATTTATTTATTTGTTGCAGCTACTAACAATAACACATTATATTAACAATTACATAGCTTATGGGTGCAGCATCACGTATTACTAGAAAATATCACAAAACAATTGATACACATTGATGGACGAACATGATATGTCTGACGTTCCTCAATAACATTCACGATCCACTGCACGTATCACTCACTCTTCGTATGCAAATACACTTAAAATACATGTAGTCTGACAGACAGAATTATGAAGGTCAGATATTCCATTGGCTTCAAACGGCCTGACAAAGAAGCACTTTCAACAGTTTAATAAATGCAATGAGTGATGTGATTGTTTTTATCCGCCTCAAGTCAGATGAATTAAATCGTTAGACTAGAAGAGCCGATATCTTTGGGGATTAACTGGAAAGAAGACATTACATATGTCTTCGTTTCAGCATTGTGTCTTCGTTTCAAAATGCCCGGATTTCCGGTCAAAGAATTTGACGAATTTTTGTTTTCTTGATTTTATCATCTTTATCCTTTAGATTTGAATTGATCGAATATTTGGCACGTATGTTCTGCGTAGATCCGATTTTGAAATATGATTATACCTGAGAAATGCATTGATTATTTAAAATTACAAATAAATTCCCTCATTTAGGAAACGAAGACCTCGTACATGTAAGTTTCTGAAGCATGAAACGAAGACAGTACATTTCAACGATATCTGGATTTAATAAATATAGTGGTCACGCAGAGTCACAAAAAGAGCTCCGAACGCCACCATGACATCTGCCTTGTACTTACAAGTGCAAATGTGACCCCAGCGACATTACTACGTTGATATTTATAATAGAATTACTGCCTTCGTTGCAAGTAATTAAATATGTCTACGTATCATTGCTACAAAACGGGAAATTTCCTAAGCAATTGATTTGTAAATATCAAAATACAAACGGACCAGTGATGATCACAGAGAGCATATTAAGAAGTCGTGGATGATGATGGTCATTCACATTTTGAAATATCTCAAATCAGAAAATAACAGCTTCATGTTCCACATTGGCACGAGTGGTCAATCGTAATATTTTTAGAGTTTGACTTTGAGAAGGTGCACTCTGAAACACTTGTGGTTTCGATATCATTGATCATTGTGTTAAATTAACGTAGAAAGCAATTATGGAAAATATTTTCATAGAATTTTGGTAAGCACAAAACGCAAAGTAAAAACTATTTCATTTAAAGATGGCGTGTTGGCAGTGTGTTTAAAGGTTTGAGTCGGTTTAAGGTAGCCAAAGTACGGTTGAACCACATTGATGAATTTTCCACAATCGCCCACCTTAAAGCATTTTAATAGATAATTGTGTGTAAATGCTTTTTTATTGTAAATGTATGTCTGATTGTAAATGTTTTTGTCATATTGTATGCCTCTAGTTGCAAATCCTTCAAACGTATGTCTTTCCAACTGTATATTCTGTTCTTGAAGTAACCATCTTTACGATACTAACCATCTTAAGGAGTAATTCTTTTCTCATAGTAAATGTCATTATTACTGTAAATGCTTTTTTCATGGTAAATGTCATTTTTATTGTACTGATGTAAATAATTTTCTCATTGTAAATGTTTTTTCTCATTTTTCATAACAAATGCCTCCTTGTGTTCTCATAGTAAATGTCTTTCTGATTTTCTCACAGTAAATCACTCTACCCTACCACGTAACCATGTTTAAAAGTGATAAGGCTACAGTGAAGTTGTAAATGGAGCAAGTATTCTCTATATTTTTCCATTGGGCTTTTCTGTTAAAGTCACCCGTCTAAAGTTTGAAAATATTTTTTTATCATTCATTTACTATTTGTCAGGACTTAAAAAGTGGTTTTAGAGATTTCTGAACAAAAAAAAATTTTGAAAAAAAAGTTTTGAGCATATATATTCAAATTTCCCGCCATTTTTCAAAAAAAGGTTGAAATTTCTAAATCATCAAATATTTCTTAATGCATTTCAAAAAAGATTATCTTTTTAACACCAATGCAAAGATTGAACAAAGGACACACTATTTCAATAATAAAATGCCATGTTTAATGGGCCACTTCAATGTTTTAGCATATCAAAAATATTTTGAAACATTAGTGATGTCACTAAGGTACCAAAAAACTTTTTGAAAAAAATTGAAATTTTTTTTCGATGTCAATCTTTTCTAAATATGTTAGACTTTCATAAAAAACCAATGTTGATTGTCTAACCAGGTCAAAAGGAAGAATAAATTATGTTTTAGATATCATTGTACCATTGGTTTCTATGAGAACTAAAATTTTGAAATGAATTTTTCTCAGAACCATTTTCATGCACTGATAAGTTCATTTCTCGCTTATTTATGAACCGATTTTCTTAATTTTTTCGGCAAAAAACATGGGAGGATGAATGCTATACATTGGTATGAATTGTGGCTAATTAGAAGATATGAGTGACCTCTAAAAGTTGGTTTTAAATAAATTCACAAATTTTGGAACAAAAAGTCTATCAAAAACCACTTTTTGAAATTAAAAAAAAAAAATTCACATATCACACTTTGATAACATTGGGTAAGACTACAATATAAGCCAAAGTGGTTTAAACTTTATATGGGGCCTTTAATAATACATTGTAAACTGCTTGATGAATCTATTAACACTTTGAGAACACTTAAAAATATATGTAAAAAAATTAAGTATGGATTCAAAAATAAACAAACGTCCTCCATCTCTTTTAAAAAATACAGACTACACTACAGTATGGGGGTAGTGTAGTGTGTAAATGTCTTTATAATTTTCTCA